GGGGGAGTGGAGGGGGTTGGTTTCAGAGAAAGACCAGTGAGTTCTGTGAAATCAACGGGCATGCACACAGCGACTTCCTCCTGGGCAGTTCTGTGACTGTGAAGCAGAGGACACTGTTTACCCACCCCCAAGAAGCCAGTGCTAAGGGAGAGAGGAAGAACCGTGCCCGAACTGCAAAACTACCCAGCCTACCGTGGAAAATGAAAGGCTAGGAGCTTGATGACTTAGAAGTAAATATTACTAAGAAGTAATTGAAACAATTACTAAATAAAATCTTATAAATGATTTAACATAAGATGCGATGACACATGACCATAAAGACCACACACCCCTCCCGTGGAAACCATGTGGGAAATCACATTTCGGTGCCCAAATACCAAAAAAACAAAAACTAGTTGCACAGTAGGGCTAGTGATGAAAAAGCAGCATCTAGAAAGCAGTGTACACTATGAATATGCACATCTATGCTGTTTTCTTTTTTTTCAATTTTTTATTTTATTTATTCATTCATTTATTTTAATTTGATCAGAGAGAGAGACACACAGAGAGAGAGGGAAAGTGAGAAAGCAAGTTACCAGGTCCAGGACTTGAACCATGGTCAGCCATGTGGGAGTGTCCAGCACCTTAACCACCATGCCACCTGCTGGTCCCCTATACTGTTTTCTACTGCTGTAAAAGTCAGCTAGCAGAATAATACATATCTCAGAAAAACATGCGGGGCACCCTGCACTTAATCTTTTGATCCAGACTGGAAAGAGAAGAAGAAATACAGGACGACTTTAAAACAATCCATTCTCCATGCACGTTTTTATTCCTAACTGAAATAATTCAAATATATAAAAACAGAAGTACAGAAACTAATATTAGTATCACTAATGTACCAGGCAGCATATTTGACTCAGAATATTTTTAAAAAATCAACTTCCCTTCTGGATATACAATTTATTCAGAAGTTATGTACGCCACTCCGCTGAGCCACGCTCAGCGTTCCCAGATCAAACACATCGCAAGTCCACAGAGACCTCTACTTTTTTCTTATACTATGAAAGAGACTCTCGTGACCTTTTAGGGTTAATCTAGGTAATTTTGAGATGATTATTATCACTTGTTCTCAAGTAGGTTCCTATAAAATATCTGTTTACATTCCTAGAAACCACTAAGAGGAATATGATGGAATCTGTAATGAATAATCTCTAGGAAAGACCCTAGGCTTCGGTGCTACCTAGAATGCCAGTTGTTCCTGCCGGGAGTAGCACCTTCGGCAAAGAAAGACAAGGTTTCACCCTCCTGACCGTTTATTAAATCTCATGTGTAAGGTGAAAAAATGAAAAACACGCTATTCAAAGAGCGGTCCTTCCGCCAGCATTTCACACCGCACTCCAGACTGTAGAATCTCAGTCCTCATTTGGCAAACTCCCTGGGTGACGCATATACACACTGAATTTGAGGAAGCACTGGTTTAAGGAACTCAAAAAGGCAACAACGTATTATAGACCAAGAAAGAACCAAACCCAAACACCATCCTGCCAAATTTACTCTCACCCTGTCAGACACAGCTTTCAGGTGTTAATTTGCACACGTCACTTCAGCAGACCAGTGGTTACCAACTGAGGGCAACGTGGTCTCCCAAAGACATTTGGCAGGGACGAGCAGATGGTGAGATGGCCATGTCACTGCACTCCCATGTAGTCGACTATGGTTTGAGTTCCAGACCCACTGGCTTCAACTCACGCCGGGTGCGTGTGCCCAAGAACCCGAGAGGAGAATGGACAAGGGACTGGGGTGTGGCCATCCCACCTAGGGGGGTGATTTCTCACTTTCTGACTCTGTCTCTCTCTGTCTTTCTGGCAAGTGCACACATCCTATAGTGAAAACCTCCTAAAAAAAATTTAAAGATAAAAAAATAAAGACATTTGGCAATATCTCAAATCATCTCTGTCTGCCACAATTTGTGAGGATGGTGCTCCCAGTGTCTAGTAAACAGAAATTCAGGAAAGCTGGTCAACATCCTATAACACAGAAGGCAATCCCAACATTAAATAAGTATTTGGTCCAAAAAGTTGACAGAATATTTTATGCACAAACCAACAAACAAAAAATACCACCAGCATTTGACCTATGATCTCCTGGCTAAAATGATATATCATTTAATTTAGTAATTTAATACACTCATTTGAACATACGTAACCATGAGGGTAAATACCAATCAATAATCAATAATCAAAAGGATTTTATGCTCAACACTCTCATGCAATTAGTTTCTAAGTTTCTCTCAAAAGTTTGCAAGCAAATCAATCATTAATATTGAAAACCAAGAACAAATATGATCAAACAACAAATGTACATGTTAAAATATTTCACAATGATACAAGCTGAATAAAAAAAAAAAGCTAAGTATAAGCATACTTACGTAATAAAAATAGTCTGATGCTCCTTTGACTTAATTAATCCTACATTTTTTCTCTTGAAATATAGGATCCTTCTTGAAGAAATATTTTGGCCACTTCAAGATGATGAAAAATATTCACTGGGCTAAATTACTTGACTGAAAAGGAACCTCATTTTATGCAAAACTTTATAAAAGGTAATTGAAAAAAAGGCAAGTATTATCAAGAACTTTGTTAGTTTCATCAAAATGTTCTGAGAGAATATTTCCCTTCATCAGAGAAGAGAGGAAGGAGAATTACACACATAGTCAGGATGGTAGAAAGTGATCCATGTGAGAGAGAAATGGGTCACCATGCATGAACCCACAGAAGATGAGTAATAAACTCAAGTCAAATAAGCATGCTTTTATCAAGATGAGCGAGCATCTGGAGCGAGCACTGCTTTATAAGGCCCTCTCTCAATTCTGTCTAAAGAGAGAGAGCCCCTGAGATTCTGTGTGATACTGTGGAAACTTCTACTGCAGCACACTATACCCGTACATTATGACAACAGAGACGAGTACACTCACTCTCCAGATCAGATTGAATCTTTGGAATTGACATTCCTTCTAGCTGTACATGAAAAAAACAAACAAACAAACAAAAACTAAAGCAATATAATTGATGCTCCCGGGCCAGCCAGTGGCCTGGTGATTAAGGCAGCTGGATCCCACATGGCTCGTGATGCAAGTCCTAGATCTGGCAGCTTCAAAACCATGCCAGACACATGGAGAGACAGAGGAAAAGGGATTGCAACATGGCCATTCACTATAGGGATCCTTTCTCATTTTTCCCCTCTCCTTCTCTCTCTCTTCAGTAAACACACACACCCTGGGACCAGCAGATGGTATAATGGTTACTGGACTCCCACGTAGTCGAACTCAGTTTGAGTCCCAGACCCGGCAACTTCAAACTCATGCCAGACGCGGGTGTGTGTGTGCCCCAAATCCCAAGAGGAGAATGGAGTAGAAGGGATTGCAGCATGGCCATCATCTCTAGGGGATGATTTCTCACTTTCTATCTCTCTGTCTCACCAATATGCGCACATATCCTATAGCAAAAATCTCTCTAAAAAAAAAAAAAAAACCCTATAGCAAATTAAAAAAAAAAAAAAAGAAAAGAAAAATAAATGATGATCCTATTATACTTTAATAGCTTTCTCTGGGCCTCATAAGCCCCGTTCTTCTATGTTCTTCAATTATATTACTAAAGACCCCAGAGTGATGGCAGATACAGACTAAAACATTTTGTACTATTTCATTCTCATTTACCTGAGTTTGTTAAACAGTTCTAACAGAAGTTGAAAAATCTTAAGCTATTAGTTGTCTCTTTTTAAAAAGTTTAGCCACATACAGCAGTTAGCGTAATGGCTATGTCGCTGGACTCCCACGTAGTCGACCGCGGTTCGTGTCCCGGACCCGGTGGCTTGAAACTCACGCCGGGCGCGTGTGCGTGCATGCCCAAGATCCCGAGAGGAGAATGGAGGAGAAGGGATTGCGGCGTGACCATCCCCCCTGGGGGGTGATTTCTCGCTTTCTGTCTCTATGTCTCTCTCTGTCTGTCTGGCGAGCGCACGTGCCCTACAGTGAAAATCTCTCAAAAAAAAAATTTTTTTTTAATTATTTAATTTTATTTAGTTAGTTTTAATTTGCTATAGGGTACTTATGCTCACTAGAGAGAGACAGCGAGAGAGAGAGGAAGTGAGAGAGCAAACTGATCAACCATGTAGGAGTCCAGTGCCTAACCACCACACCACCTGCTGGCTCCTTTATTTTTTTAATTGTTTATTTAATTTTACTTATTATTTTGTTTAAATTCATAAATACTTCTTAAATATAATCTCAGGAACCCAGGAAGCCTACTTACATTCCCAATGCCTCTAGGTCAACATAATAACCATTCTCACTACAGAAGTTCAGTGACACCGTGAGAGGTAACTGTCAAGGACAGGACCCCACCGACACAGACATCTCCACAAACTGGCTCATGAGAATGCCCACTTTTTCAGCTCATTAGTTGGTCATCAAATCCAGCAGTCCTTTTGATGTTTTATTCTTTTTTCCCACTGGCTTTCTCATCTTTAACAGGCTGGGATAAGCTGGTAAAAAAAAATAGTGAATCAACTGAGTACAAACCTGAGGAAGGGAAGGGAGAGTCATAGGGCTACACCAAGAGATTCTGTTGTCTTTCTGACTTATGTTTATGTTATTGTATGAAATCAACATCAGGAGGTGACTGTTTCCTCTACTGGTGAAGTGACTGAGGTGTCAGTAAGTCCCTTTATCGGAATGTTAAATCATCTCTGTACTAATGTTGAGAAGAGGAGACCAGGCAGGTATTATGAGGGCAAAATGGTACATGTTCATTTTATAGTCTTGTTTCATTTTTCATCCAATACACACTGTCACCTTTTGGTCTCAATACGGAAGTGGCCTCACTTGCTGTAGATGCCCTAGGACGGCAACTTTGCCATACCCCTCTCCTTCCACTGATCTCATCCTTCACTACCATTAATCCAATTGGCCCCGCAGAAAAGGCTGCCACACAGAGACACCTGGCCCCACAGGAAGGTGTGACCTTACCGTCAACTCCACTGCTAGCAACCCAACAGCAATATTTAAAATCTCAAAAATTATTACCAAGAATATATTAGAATGTATCTTTAGCTTCTTACTTATGGGGAGTCTCTTAAAGAAAGAAATTAACCTTGCCTGAGGCTCTGCCCTATCGAAAGTAGCAGCAGGGGCAGCAAAGACCCCTTCTTCTTCCCCCAGTCAGCAAGTCTCAAACCCTCCTGGACTGAAAATGGAGACTCCTATCTGCAGCTGTTTCAACCCTGTCAAAATAGCAAGAAAGCCTTTGGGGAAAAGACCCGAGCCAGCCACGGGTATTCACTGTTTCACAAGTCCACTAGGGTCAGTCGGGTTCTTTCATCAAATTCAGTGGGTGAAATGGGGTGAAGCTCTGTTTAAACGAGCATTTGCTGCAACGCTGAAGTTTTACAGAGAGCCATTGTCATTTTAGGTCAATGCTGGTCTCTACACTACCTGACAGTTCTCTGACCAACCTGATTTTCCCATTTTCTTTGCTGCCATTTGTCTACTCCATTCTGCCCTTTCCATTCCAACAAAGAAAAGGGACATAGGGAGGAAGGAGGATGGGATAGAGGGAAGGAGGAGGAAGGAAGAAGCACCCAACTTATAAAGAATGGAAAGTCAGTTTCCAGAGCTCGGTGGGTTTGACTGTATTCACTGCTTACTCAGCAAGACTGGGAAGTTTAAACCTCCTCTGAGTGATTGGTTCACATCTCTCCCCAGGCCTTTGCCTCTCGAGGTGACAAGATGATCAATTCGACCACCACGGAGCCCCCAGATGCACGCTGCTCCCAGAACGCAGTGATCACTCAGCAAGTAATTCCCATGCTATATTTCCTAGTCTTCATGGCAGGGATTCTACTCAATGGAGTGTCAGGATGGATATTCTTTTACGTGCCTAGCTCCAAGAGCTTCATCGTCTATCTCAAGAACATTGTGGTTGCTGACTTTCTGATGAGCCTCACTTTCCCTTTCAAGATCCTTGGCGATTCGGGCCTGGGTCCCTGGCAGATGAACGTGTTCGTATGTAGGGTCTCAGCCGTGTTCTTCTATGTCAACATGTATGTCAGCATCGTGTTCTTTGGGCTCATCAGCTTTGACAGATACTACAAGATCGTGAAGCCTCTGCTGTCCTCTTTCGTCCAGTCAGTGAGCTACAGCAAGCTGCTGTCAGTGGTGGTGTGGACGCTGCTGCTGCTCCTTGCGATTCCCAACATCATCCTGACCAACCAGAGCGTGAAGAAGGCCGAACGAATACAGTGCGTGGAGCTGAAAAACGAACTGGGACGCAAGTGGCACAAAGCATCCAACTACGTCTTCGTGGGCATTTTCTGGATTGTGTTTCTTCTGTTAATTATTTTCTACACTGCTATCACCAAGAAAATCTTTAAGTCCCACCTGAAGTCCAGGAGGAATTCCATTTCGGTAAAAAAGAAATCGAGCCGTAACATATTCAGCATTGTGTTCGTGTTTTTTGTCTGTTTTGTACCTTACCACATTGCCAGGATCCCCTACACTCAGAGTCAGACGGAAGCTCATTACAGCTGTCATTCAAAAGAAATCCTGCTCTACGTGAAAGAGTTTACCCTGCTATTGTCTGCTGCAAACGTGTGTCTGGACCCCATTATTTATTTCTTTCTATGTCAGCCATTTAGAGAAATCTTACGTAAGAAGTTGCACTTCCCTTTAAACGCTCAGAGTGACCTCGACACTTTCCAAACCAAACGGGGAAACGCCATGCAGGAAAGCACAGACACTCTGTGAGTACCCATCCCCTTTCAAATACATCCACGCACGCATGGGGTCATCCCCAGTTACAGGGTGAGAAGAAAGACCAAGATACGTGCCCATCATTAAAAAAAAAAAAAAAAAATCATTTGTAGCATTACTATCCAACTTAATACAATAATAAAATTCCATTGTAAGTTCCCATGTTCTTTTGTTTTTGTTTTGTTTTTTTGAGAGGTTTTTGCTATAGGACCCGTGTGCTCACTAGAAAGACAGAGAGACAGAAAGCAAGAAATGATGGCAATGCCACAATCCCTTCTCCTCCATTCTCCTCTTGAAATCTTGGGCATGCACACACACACACCAGCGTGAGTTTAAGCTACCGGGTCCGGGACCCGAACCACAGACTACTACATGGGAGTCCAGTGACATAGCCATTACACCAACTGCTGGTCCCTCCATGTTCTTTTGTAACACCCCCCAAAAAAAATACCCGTCAGTAGACTTTTCTTTTATAACTGACCTTTCGTTTTCCTGTTACTACAAAGGAAAAAAATCAATATATTCAATTATTCGATCCTATTCCACCAAAATAGCATGACTCAATTTATAATCACTAATGTATCATTAGTTCATGTAAAACATTAAATAGTAAATAAAGAAAATAACCAATTAAAGATAACTTACATGGGCATCTTCTTTCTTGAAACACAAAAATCAGTAAGTTTTGTAATCTTTTCTTTTTTTTAACAGAGTCCTTAAAGACCAAGTTAAAAGCAGGCACAGTTTGACGAAGGACTAGAAGCCTATTTGCAGGAAAACAGTCGTCGTCTCTGATTTGAAGCAGCAGAATAAGCAGACATCCTAAAAATCACTTCAGAAACCTCTGATTTATCTCATGGCATTACTAAAGAAAGCACATATAAATGATGTACTTTGCAATAAAAATGGAAACTTTTTCTCAGAGCACTTTGAGGATTTTATTAGATACAAGCTAAGTGTATCTTATGCAAAGATTTATTAAAACATTTTCTGAGCCCAAGATTCTGATATTTGGATATTTTTAAGTGGGCTCTACTGAGAAAAGCTGTATATTGGTATGTGTTGCTGCAACTCCCCTTGTTCAATAATATGAGAAGAAAAAAGAAAAAGGTGACAGGGAAAAAGACATACACACACACACACACACACACACACACACACACACCCCACACGAGAATATACATTTTATTCTCTTGTTGGGTTAGGGAGTGACAATTTTCTTAGAAAGCAAATAAACTTCATAAGAAGAAAATCTAAAATATACAGCAGTGCAAAGTTACACATAAAATGAAACACATATCTGGAAAACAGATGAATTTCACATGCAGAGATACAGGATATGGTTGTTGACTTGTGAGTTCTCAAAACAATTCTTTCTCTGCTATTAGCTGGCTAGAAAAAAATTCGACCTGTCTTTCCGATGTTATTCCCAAGCCTTTCTATAAGAAAAGTTTATATCTATTTTATGTTTTACTATATATATGTACTAATAAAGTAATCATTTTTAATACTGTATTTTTTTCTTAATAATCAGTGTATGAGGAAACAGTACCAGGTTTCCTCACAGTCAAGACGTGGGAAGCTTCTTCAACACGCTCAAGTATGAAGGCTAATGCAAGGAAGACAACAACAAAGAGAAATCAAAAGGCCACTTGCTACTGACTTCTCAAAATAAGTATGCTCTAGGAGCTCATCTCATTCAGACAAAATTCAGAAAACACAAGTTAGGCCCAGTCACAGTGACATAGGCAGCGGGACACTGCATGGAGATATCCTGTCACAAATACCTCTCTCTCTCTCTCTCTCTCTCTCTCTCTCTCTCTCTCTCTCTCCACCTCCTCCCCTTACTCTCATTTAAAAAAGAAAGATAATACTCTCCAGTACAGAAGAACTGGGAGAGTTTCACTCTGTCCACTTTCCACCCTCCTAACAGCCCCGGCTCCCAGCTGTGAGTTCAACGTCCTCTCATAAAGAACAAACATCACCTAGCTATGTGTGAAAGAGCTTGGTAAACAAAGCTTGGGATATTTGTTCAGCGACATGCGTGGGAAAACAAAATTGTGTTTACTCTTCTCCATTTCCAGTGAACAAGCCGAATGAGTAAATTCGGAGGTTTTAAATGCCCCCTACTGGGCCATGGAAGAAAATGAAAGTAAAAAGGAGGAGGTAAGTTGTTCTCAGGAAAGCCTTGAGAAGCACTGGGCCATAGCAGACTAGGGACATGAGAGCAAGATTTTCCAGGAAGCAACGTGCGGCACAGATACGGGTACGGGAAGAAAGAGCTGAGTAACAGTTACTGCACATTAGAACTTTCGGGTCTGGGGCAACAGTGGAAAACAAAGAGGCAGAGCACTGACAACAGTGGAACCCAGAAACTTCTCAGACATCTCCATTCCCAACGCAGGTGGGCAACAGGGAACGCTTCCAGGTCCCTGTACAGAAAAGCTATAACGCTGGCTCCCCAGAGCTCTGGGTACCCAGTGAGGCTTTCACCTCAGGTGCCCGCAGTGGCAAAGACAGCGAGGTAAACACAGCCTAAGAAAACAAGGGAAGGTGAGGGTGACAGTGAGCTGAGAGCTGGTACCACACCAAGAGAAGCCAACAGGCCATTAGCACTAACGAATTATTTTCCCCTGTTTTTCAAGAGATAGAAAACACAAAGGTTTTAAGGGCTGACAAGCAGAGTAGTAGCTGAAGGCGCTGGATTCCCACATGGCCAACCACAGTTGGAGTTCCAGACCCAGCGGCTTGCATTCTCACTTTCCCTTTCTCTCTCTCTCTCTGGCCAAATTAAAAAATAATAATAACAATAATAATAACAAATGGAAATAAATAAATAAATGAATACATAACAGAAGGTTTTTAAATGCCGACCCAGCAATAAAGACAGACACACTTGTGGCTAGGATACGATATGGCAAGAGCTGTTCTGAAACATTTGGAATGTACACACCACATAAAAATGTGCTCAGACTAAATGGCTACAACTAAAATGTTCTTTTTAATAGGAATCCTTACTTTTTCTTGAGGCTCCTTTTATAAAACAATAATTTATTTCTTGAGAGAGAGAGAGAGTGTGTGTGTGTGTGTGCTTCCTGACAGGGTCTTGTCACACCATGATCCCCACATGCCCCTCCCTCACAGCGTTCCTGCTAGTCAGGATCAGAGACACACCCGATCAACCCCAGGCCTTGGCCCCAATGTCACACAGCAGCATCCCACCATCTGCACCACCAGAGCTGGTTCCGAGGTTCCTTTTCGATGCATAATCGATTCATCTATACAAAAATGATCCAAAGTGGTTTTATAAAAAAAGTCTTTGAGACAAGAAGAATCAAGAAATAAGGACCAGCAGATAGTGTAATTGTAAGGTCACTGAACTCCTACATAGCAACCATAGTTTGAGTTCCAAACCTAGCAGCTTAAAACTCATACCAGGTGCGTGTGCAAGCATGCCCAAAATCCCAAGACGAGAATGAAGAGGGGCCACAGCATGGCCATATCCCTGGGGGGTGATTTCTCACTTTCTATCTTTCTGTCTCTCTGGCAACATGCCCTATAGCAAAAATGCCTCAAAAAAAAAAAGAATCAATAAATAAAGAGGTCATAGAAAAATCATAATCTCATAATCATACGAATAGATTACACATGAAACCTACTCACTGGGATGAACTTTGCAATGGTCTTTTACAAAATGTCATTATTAGTGCTAATTTGTTGATTATCTTCTCAGCCTCTGTCCTCTTTTCCCAGTAGCAGAAGTAAAACTATTCCTTTCAGAAAGCCACAGTTCCTTATTCTCAGCCATACAGCTGCCAAAGAACTGACCCTGTCCCCCACGTCAGGGACAAGCCATGACTGGCTCTAGACAGCTGGCATGTCTGATCTACTGCCCACAGAGGATGGCACAAGAACCAACCTGACCCAGTGAGAGCAAGCCTCAGGTTTCTGAAGAAATTCTCTGGCAGGTATGCTGTGGAAATATAAAGTCTAGAAGTGATTCTTGCCTTTGGCTATGAGAAGAGAGCCTAGAGCGTCTGTGAGTTAAAACCAACACCACTGCATGTGGATGGAGAAACAGCACAACCCAGTCCTGGTCCCGTAGCCGAGCACCTGCATCTACACTCACCGAGAGCCCCACCTGTAACTTTGGGTATCCCAGTAACAAGAAGTCCAATTTTAGTTGCAATTTTTTTCTTTGGCACTTACAAATGAGAAAGCTTTAGTACACAGGCTTCGCCTGAAAGAGTAATCCAGAAGCTCTAGAAAGCACGACTGCACTAAGCTTTGCTTCAATTTGATGATGTTAGTAAAGTAAATGCCATTAGTTCAGAATGCTGCCCTATTGCTGCCATGCATGTCCTTTTACTCTGGAGAAATAGGGGACAAGGTGAATACATAAAGGCAGGAAAAAAGTCAGTAATGCCAAGATATATCACATAAACTACAAATATATCATCTTAAAAAAAAGGTGGCATGAGGGACCAGCAGTTAGCGTAATGGCTATGTCACTGAACTCCCATGTAGTTGACCGCAGTTCAAGTCTCAGACCTGGTGGCTTAAAGTCACACCGGGCGCGTGTGCGTGCATGCCCAAGATCCTGAGAAAAACGGGGAAAAAAAGGGATTGCGGCACCCCCCGGAAGGGTGATTTCTCACTTTCTGTCTCTCTGTCTCTCTTTCTGACGAGCGCACGCGCCCTATAACAAAAACCTCTTGAGAAAAAACAAACAAACAAAAAAGGTGGCATGAGATGTTCTTTGGGGAAGCAGCACTGGAGGGTTTGTGTGTCTGGTTTAGGAAAGAACTGGTTCTCTGTGGTCTTCAACAGTAAAACCCACTACTTCCTTTTGGTCACGTAGTCTCTGCAAGGTGCCAATGGTGTGTGGGTTACCATGTCATGACAACATGTCCCCGAAAAGAACCACTTTAACAAATATAGCTTTCCTTTCCTACTTTTCTGAAATGTCTTATTTCCCAGCACTGTTGAACGATGAAAAAATATTGCATTAGTTTATCTGTAGTAAATGTATTATAAACATGTATTTATAAACTAAGTACAGAAAAAAAAATTTGCACAGAATAACATGCCCCCAAAGCTGTTTCAGGATTTACAGGGAATATGAGACATTACTACTATCTCTTACACCTCCAGCATAAGTAGAGTTTGAGCCTGAAGGAGGTGTTAGAAAAATAAGCCCATGGCACCAGCAGTTGGCGAAATGGCTATGTCACTGAACCCCCATGTAGTCAAGCAAAGTTTGAGTACCCGGTGGCTTAAACTCATGCCAGGCGTGTGTGCGTGCGTGCCCAAGATCCCAAGAGGAGAATGGAGGAGAAGGGACTGCGGCATGGCCATCCCCCCTGGGGGGGGGGGTGATTTCTCCCTTTCTGTCTCTCTGTGTCTCTCTCTGTCTTTCTGGTGAACACACATGCCCTATAGCAAAAACTTCTCAAAAAATAAATAAATAAATAAGGCTCACTTTGGGACCAGCAGATGGCATGATGGTTATGTCGCTGGACTCCCACATAGTCAACCACAGTTCAAGTCCTGGACCTAGAGGCTTAGAACTCATGTCGGACGTGTGTGTACGCATGCCCAAAATCCCAAGAGGAGACTGGAGGAGAAGGAATTGTGACTTCCACCCCCCCTGGGGGGCGATTTCTCACTTTCTGTCTGTTTCTCTGGCAAGCACCTATAGCAAAAACCTCTCTTTAATAGAAAAAAAAAAAAATTAAAAAGGCCCACTTCAAAACAACAAAATACATGGCAAGTATTTTCAAAGGTAAAGCTTATGAGATGAGCTGTTACTTCCTGAAGGCATTTATTGTATAATCCATGACTTCTCCTGTGGTCACAGTCATAATTAAGATCTACTCCTCCAGCCACCTCACCCCCTCCCAAACACTGTATGGAGTGCTT